GCTGAATTGTTAGCATGGTGATATCTCTATCCCTGTTTTCTCAGAAGTGTTCCTGAGAACACTCAGACATGCTGGCTGAAACCAAGAGAAACAACACTATGACCACTGTTTGTTTAAGGTCAGGGACATGGAACAGCTGTATTTGTTTAGCATTTGCTTGTCAAGGAAAGACCTCAGCAAGTTTTCAGATAATCTGTCTGTCTCTATATTTTATGCACAAACCTGCCATCCCCACACATACTTGAATCTTTCCAGCAATCTCTTCTTATTGCTACATAGATATCAAAATTGCCATCTGGTTAAGGTGGTGGAATGCATTTCAGCCGTGCTCAGTTCACATAAGCAAGTGCTGTTACATTTCTCAGCTCATGTGTAACATTTTGTGATCAGATCAGGGAGATTGCTGCTGCAGTGGTTCCTTGGAATTTCCTCTTATTTCTGCAAATTTAAACAACATACTGCTGATGATTGATTATAGTAATTTTGTTGTTCATATCATCCTATTCATATCACAGCAGGTATTGCTTGTAATTATTAAGGCTATTTGTTATTAGAGATGCATGGGCAGTGAAATACAATGAGAAGCAAACAATTTAACTGGTAATAAAATTAGCTGATCATGGAAAGTCAATCTGCTAATTATCTCCAAATTGTGTGTGTCAGTTCTGTTTTGCATTTCTTAGACTCCTTGCTCCCCAGTGAAAAGCTTTTGCAGAAGAATTCTAAAGAACAAACTGAATTCCCCATCAAGAGAGGTTTTCATCATGTTACACCTTTGTTCTCATACAGGTTCACATAATTTCATATTTTGTGACAAATAGGCATTTTATTGTGTAATTTACTGCACTAATAGTGCACTAATTTTTTATAGAAGATTCTTCATAAAACAATAAAAATTAGGCTGATTCCTTCAATTTCATAACTAGTGGAAAGTACTCAGCACTTGAATTTCATAGTTGTTAAATTTTCAAAACATCTTGTGATATTTAAGTGGTGGAGCACACATTAAGGTCAGTTTGAGCCACATGGATAGTAAGTACCTTTGGACACTTTCAAAAACTGCATATAGGCTTTTCTAACTGTCCTTGGTTCCTGGGATTGTCAGTCGAATAATTTACTGAGATTCTAGTATACATGCAGTGAAAAAACAAATCATATGGGCAGCAGGACCAGTACAACTTGGTTTTCTGTGCATTTTTGCATAGTGGTATTGGCAGCTGGCTATGGCACTGAGGCTTTTATTTTAATTAGTATTTGTATGGTGTTTGACAGCACTACATCTCTTTTTTATGTCCAGCATTAATAGGTCATTTCATAGTTGGGTGTGGGAAAATTAAAGGTGGCTATCAGATTTTATGTATCTGTCAGTTTGCTAATATTTTAATTTCTGTTTTAAATATGGGCAGGTAAAACAACCAACCCAACTAAGATTAAATATTATTTCTCATATCCGTTTATTAAAACAAATTATTAAAAGTAAACATTGAGTCATTTTACAAGAAAATATCATTCTCTGTTGAAAAATTATGATGCCTTAAATATAATAGAGTTAAGATATAATACTGGGTAAATAGAGCTGTGGTTTGAACGATCATGGCCATTCTTATTTTCTGGAGAGTCTATATCTACTTTTCCAAGTCAAAACCAGTCTGGAATGTGAGCTGAAATGTTATCTTTACAATTTTGTACCAAGTGTGAAATATATATTCCAACCCATAACCCTGTATAAGGGAGCTGAACAGCTCTGCTAATCACAAGGAATCTACAGAGACTGTGACCTACTAAGTACCATGTGGCTGAGCTCTGATGCACCATCCCAACGTCAGAAAGTAAATAGCAATACATGCTTGGTCTTAGATGCAACAGGAGTTACAGGATAAACTTCAGTCACCCTTTGCCTTGGATTGTCATTAATCTCAGTAGGAGGCAACAATGGAAAATGTTAATAAGAAAAAAATGTGAATTAAACACCAAAACAACCCTGTGAAAGAGAAACTCTTCAACTTTAAATTGGAAGCAAGGGGAGTTCTGCCAGGTGTGGGAATGCAGAGAGGCCTTCAAGGGCTGTGCACAGCTGCAGCTGTGCCTCTGCCTTCAGCCAGTGCTTGTTTACTCTGTCTGGGAGCAGGCACTCTCCACATGCACTTTCGAACTCCTGCTGATGGCAGGTGAAGCTAATCTGTCAGACAGTACTGGCTCTAGATATCCAAGAGAGCCATCAACCCCTTGTTCTGACAGGCAGTAGCAAGAATTAATACAAGCGATAATTAGTTACTCTGTTTGACTTCTTTTCACTATTTAAAGAGAGCTTTTCTCCTATAGGAATGAGATGAATATGTGTCTGTCAGAGTCAGGCTGTATTGGAATGACTTCTCACATTGCCAAGTAGCAACACAGAGCTGTCCTAGTGGGATCTCTGGAGGATCCCTGTGGAAAATAGTCACCGGAGGAAGGCAAGTAAATGGTGACAAGTGAGGCCAGGGGCCCTTTGGCTGACCGCCATCAAGTGGTGAGCAGGATGCCTAGGAATGTCTGGGGCTTCCTATCTGAAATGAGTCTTATCAAGCTGGGAGAGCAGACTCCTTGTGGAGGTCACACTTCTCCCCCGAAAGCAACGCTGGTTTTTGCAGGACCCTGGGCAGCTAAGACTTGGGAACAGCCTTGATATTCTGCTGCTAGTAAAGACCGAGAGTGGGAAACTTTTGTGTTCAGACTCAAACCGACATAGAAATGTGTTTTGATTCTGTCTCCCCCTCTGTTTAGCATTTCCACTTGACATTAGCTAGTGTCCCCCAATCCCACAGTAAGAGATGGGAAGGAACAGATAACTCCAGGTCACTCCAGCAAAATACACACAGCATGCCAAGCATGGTCTGGAAACCAGAGAGACACTTTGGTGTGATAACAAGGTCACTGCAGACAAGCAATGGCAAAGGCACACTTCTATCTAAATCTTTGAGTATGTTTGAACATAATGGTGTACTGAGGCTAAAGGACTGGAAATGTGGGATGACGTGCTTAAACGCACAACCTCTGTTTGCCCTTGTGAAGATTATGAGCCATACCTAAAAGCACATCGCCACAGGATCAGGTAAATTGACTTTTATTGAAACATACTGTAATATGAAGGGGGGAAGATTCCAATTTAACACAAATACATTGCATTTCAGGCTCCCAAATAACTATTGATATCTGCTGTCCTGGAGCAAATCATATCTTCCTTGACAAGTCAGACAGCTGCTCCTTCTCTATCTTCCCTTTGTTATCTTTAATAGCCATGGATTGTTGTGGTACCTTCAAAAAAATATTTGCGACTGACTTGACGGATGTTTCACCTCCTGCTATTAGCCCTGGTTCATGGGTTCATCTAATGCCTGTTCTTGCTGACGAAAGACCAAGTGCTTTTGAAATGAGAGTGTACTGGATGTCACTGCGCAGTGCACACTTTGTACATGTCCTCTTCCCCTCCAGCTGGCAGCTGCTGGGTGAACAAGCTCTCCAGCTATCTTGATTATCCTGACATAAGTTATGGTAGAAGCAACCTCCAGAGCTCGTCTGGTCCAGGTTCCATCTCAGAGCAAGGCCAACTTTCTAGTCCTGTAAGACTGCTCATGGTCATCCCCAGCTGAGGCCTGACTATTGCCAGGGAAGTAGATCCCACAGCTTCTCAGGGCAAATGTTCCCACGTTTGATCACAGTCACTGTGAAAAATTTTTTTCCATTTGTTGAAGATATGGAAATATTGGTATCTTAAATACAGGATCACTAAGAATTGTAAGATAGGTCTAAAGAAAACCATGGCTATATTTGACCAATTTCACTCAGACTTTGAAATGAAAAGACAAAGCAAGTCTAATAACACCAGGGTTGTGGGTTTGATACCTGTACAGGCCATTCACTTAAGAGCTGGACTTGATAATCCTTGTGGATCCCCTCCAACTCAGAATATTCTGTGATTCTATAATTCCTTCAGGCTATCAACTGTCCTCAGGTGTGTCAAAGGAAATGAAGGCAAATGTGGTAGAAATGGATGAGGGTGGTAATACTGCAGCAGTTCCTTTGCCTTCCTCTGACAGTCTTTGCTGCCCACAAATCTCAGTCAACACCATGGGCTGTGTAAGGTCTCCCCAGACTGCCTCAGATCAGACCAGAAATGTGCCAGGTCAGCCCTAAAATCCTTCAACAGCAAACTGAAGGTTGTGAATGGGTTAAGCAAAGTTACGTGTCTTTGTGATGCAAAGGAGGAGTGTTTATTTTGTCCATTCATCAGCCAGCTGTAGAGGCACTACAGGCACTACAAAGAGCTGGCCAAGTTAACAATTTGAACTGTACCAGTTAGACCAAACTGGTCCAAAATCATCAAAGGGCATCCAAGAACCACTGCCAAGGGCTATCGTGCATTTGGGGGTGACCTTTAGTGCATTTAAAAAACTACTTTTAGGTAACATCCTTAAGTTGAGGAAGTTATGGAAGTTATACATAACTCAGTATTAGCTACCCATTTTCCTCTACTTTTTGTATCTTTATTTCCCTGATTAATCCATGATTAAGAATGAATACAAGCTGCATATCCCTAGTCAGGTTTTATATTCCTGAATGGGAAACATCACCCCCTTTGGACCAGACTGTAGCACAAGCACCATTTTAGAAGGAGGGACAAGGCTGACACATTTAGTACTGAGTTTTGGCAAATCTGATAATAAACAGGGTCCTCTTTATACTTCCCAGTGGTGCACATACAGGTCTATTTTTCATGTGCTGATGGAGCATTCAGCACTGAGACTGACCCTTACAACACTTAAGAAGGGAGAAGGGACTTATGCTCTAATATTAAGTGTTCCTCCAGCTCTCTTGTATTCTCCTTGTAGAGCTAAGACTGAAAGAAAGGTGGGGTTTTTCTCCATCTCACATTTGTAGCTATCAGCTGAAAAAAAACCCAACTGAGAGAAATTTAGATCCTTCACCATGAAATTAACAGCCACGCTTTGTGATTGGAACAGGTCCCCAGTGGTACCCTTCCCGTGTTGGCCTGCAACTAGAACGCAGTAAGTATTCATATGGTTGAATACAGCCACCTAATGTATTACTAATCCTCTGGCAGATTCTCCTTCTAACAGTATTGCTCTCTCTATACGTGTTATTGGGTGAACTGTTAGCACATTTTCATTAACGGATATCAATTTTTAACTTATTAGTCTTCTCATTAATAAAGGAATCTAATGTTTTTCATAATGTTTCAGGATACAGTATATGATCAAATAAGGAAGACAAGGCAGTTTTAAACCCATTTGCTCACTTCTCTCACTCAATGCATGATCTATTTTAATACTTGCTTACAGCCTCATCAGAAGATGCAGCTGCCTGCAGGAGGCAGCCTCTTTTTTTGTGCCAGTACATAAGTTCTTGGTGGACATGGCAGTGGGAGATAAGGCTGCCACGGGCTGTGTGGTATTTGGTCTGTGGACATGTTGAATTTCAAAGCCATAAAAAATGAGGGCTCAGCAGCTGATGGAATTTAGCATCCTTGCTGATGTAAACAGTCAACAAATGAATTGAAAGAGAGACGCAACGCATAAAGCAGAAAAGAGCAAAGATGTGTTGCAGCCATGACAACATCCCAAGCCAGTGGCTGTTGGAGTTTCCTAATATCCAGCTCCCTGCCCCCACAGAACAAAAGAGAAACAGATATTGCCATTTTATCTCTCTGTCTGTACAATCTAGGTCCATTAGGACCTAGGGGAGGTTTATGTTAGATATTAGAAAAAATTTCTTCACAGAGAGTGTGGTCAGACATTGGAATGGGCTGCCCAGGGAAGTGGTGGATTCTCCATCCCTGGAGATTTTTAAAAAGAGACTGGATGTGGCACTGAGTGCCATGGTCTAGTAACCGCAGCGGTAGTGGATCAAGGGTTGGACTTGATGATCTTGAAGGTCCCTTCCAACCTGGCTGATTCAATGATTCTATGATTCCATGACTGGAAGCAGATGCCTCAGAATGCTGGGAAAAATAATGTAGTGCTCACATACACCTGGTCTGCCTAGGTCAGAGCTTACAAAGAAATCTTGAACAGTGGGCCTTTGCCCAAGAAGTTGCATTCATCATGAAGTGCCACCTATTGTGAAATAGCCTGACGATGTGAATGTTTCAGCAAAATACTTCAGTGAGGGCGATGCTGCATAACATCGACTTTGCCATTAGTCTTGCAAGACAGAACAAAGAGTGCTCTACGGAGTTGTCTGTGTGATTGCTTGGCATGTCTCTAATGGGTTAGATTAACAGAGATAGCATCATACAATTGCCATGCATTGCTGCCCAGTGTCATGTCAGCCTGATGCTTTTGTTAAAATGAGATGAGAATAACTCTCACAGAAGTGCTCTAAGTTGTTAACCTGGAGAATAAGTACCACATCACCAAAATAAATCACAATACAAGCTGGGCCGACACCTGGGCCATTATCAGGGCAGTCTATGCATTGTGCTGAATCTCTGAGAGGATACCTGTTGTTCATGCCATCTCCCCTTCCTTTTTTGTCATTGCAGATGGGCCCTTTTTGAAGGATTCAATTAACATTCAAAGTCTTGCTGTTTCCTCCATCATTACACTGTATTTTACAGACCTGGGTCAGCAGGTCGGTTGGACCACAGTAAGTATGTCCTTGTAACAATCAACAGGATATTTCTTAATGTACAATGTGTTTTAGCATCAAATTACTCCAACTTCCCCAGCCAGTCTTTCCCTATGTAAAATGGTGTAATTACTTATCAGCAGTCAAAACAGAATTAAATGAGCAGTGAGCTAAATTATCAATATGCTAACTCTGGCATCCAATTAAAGATTAGAAGGTGGACATAAAAATATTGCCTGAGAAAAAAAATCAATTTTAAAAAACAGTTTTAGCTTATCTAGGGTTTATATGCCTGTGCAGAACCTGTAGCCAAATATATTAATTTGCTGCAAGACTCCTCAGCTTTGAAAGTGGAAGGATATTAAAAAGAAAAAATGGATTTCTAGTAATCCTGTTACTAATGTGGAAAAATTATTGGATGAAAATGTCTTTCTCTTTGTTCACCCAAAGCACAGTTCTGATAGAGAGGTTAAGGATTCCAGGCAGAAGATGTCCAGCCAGGCTCAGGAGTCACAACTTTTGAATCTCTTTCTAAAACAAAAGTATTTGCCATGAGCAACAATATCTGTATTATGCTCTAGGTAGGCATGGTCTCAGTCTGACTTCAGTTATTTTCCTGTAAGTAACTTTCAGAATACAGTATATGATCAATATGAAGACCACAGTTGGAAGGTCAAGGTGGTGGGAGAGAGGCAGCACATTCCACTCAAATGGGGTTGTGGGGAACTCTAACCTTACAGGCTCCTCTGGGAAAGGAAGAAGAGAAGGATTCAATGCATTCACAGCCCAAAGACAGAAGACAGTAGAAGTATTTGAAAAGACAGTGAAGGAATGGGAAATGAAGAGACTTTTCCAGTGTCCTGCATCAGGCATATGTGGTGGAGCTGAAAGTAGTTTCACTACTAGACTGACCCAGCTTTTGCTGTAGTTTGCATGTACTGCACTACCTGGGGTAAGACATAGCCCATATCTGTATATTGGGTAATGAGACTCTCAATTTCTGCAGTGAGAAACATGAGTAAGACTGAACTACTGTTTCTGAAAGCCATTAAAACACTGACAAGACTATTCATAGCAATGGAAAACATACCACCAGTTGCTTTCAATTCCTTTAATGAAGCAAGTGAGTTTTCCCTAACTGGCATCATGGCTGTTGGCCAACTTATTAAATTCTTAGCTCAGGCAGCACACAGATCCCACCCTGCTCATGCAGGGGGACCACAAGACCCACTGACAATCCACTGTCCTTCCTTGGCAGTGCCTATATGGATGAAGCTTGTGAGCGTCAGATCTTTGAGCAGCTCACAGGTGATAGTTCCTGTTCATCTCTCCAACAGGTCACTATGGGCTAGGAAGCATTACTACAAGACACTTGGAGTAAGCATGCTAATTTACAGTTCCTTATCTCTTGGAAGGTACACTCAAAGTGTTACTGCCTGAGCTGCCCTTGACCTTGGGATGTCAGCCTCTGGATCAGTTCTGTAAGGTCATATATCCATCTCACCTGCTCAAGCTCACCTACATTTCCCCTCTCCAAGGAAGCAGATTGCCCTGATCAGCACAAATTCTGACAGGCTTTAGCCCCTTTGAAGAAGAACATGACCTATATCCATCCTTCCCAGTTCCAATAGGACCCAAATCCCCAGGTGGTGACAGGCAGTTTACTTCAGTGGAGCTATAGCCTTTGACACCTACCTGTTTCAGTGGAGGTCTGCGAGTTGCCAAGGCTTTGCCCCACCCTGATTAATAGCCTACTGGGGCCACACTGATTAATGCCAGTCCTGTTTCCCCCCTGAATCCATCCCACCACTTCTCAACCATGGAATTTCCTTGCCAAGCAAAATTGTGATTACTGCAGCTTTCTGTTTGCTACAATTAAGTAATCTGCAAAAACCTTATTTATTCTCTCTTTTCCTGGTGGTTTATGTAGCCTAAGACAGTAACATAACTAAAGCTTAATATCCCATTATAAATAGTGCAGTTATGACCAGGAGTTGATACTGCAGGCAGTGGCATTTTTTTTATGATTTAATCTGCATGCAAAAAGTTGACTCCATGAGTTTCTGAATATTCATGTTATCCCATTCTGCTTCATATTCCAAATTGTCTCCATTCTTAGTGAAAGAAATCTTCTTCCTAGCCACATCATTTAAACAGCCAGGAGATTTTTATGTTATAACTAGTCTGTAATAAGAGAGAAAAAGTTCATAGAAGATTGTATTCTAACAATAGCAATTAAGAATGCATTTGTACACAGTATGTGTAGTTTTACTGCCATTTTTACTATGCTTAGAGCTCCCATTCTCCCATCCCCCTTGATACTCTATCAGATTTATGCATACAGAGAGGGATGTTTCTGATTTAAAGGGTTGACATTTAAATAAACAAGGCGCCGAATGAAAATATTCTTATCTTGTCAGCAAAAGGATAGCTAAGGTACAAAGGGCCACATTCAGCTCTGGGCTCCAAAAATAGATACAGAAGCACATGGAGACATGCTGGTGGCTCCAGAGGTCAATGCTTTGGGCATGGATCTCTCTAGGGGAACGCTAATCACAGAGGTGGGTCTTCTGGGGCTCTGTCACCTCATTGGAGATCACACTTGAGGATCAAGAACACTAAGACCCCCAATGCTGGGGATTTACAGCTAGACAATGACTTGTGGTTTTTAAAAGGGGAAAATAGTACTGACCTCCACCACTACCTCCTGGGAACAGAGCCCTTTCCAAGAGAGTGGTAAAATAAAAGGTCTATTCCCAGACAGAATTTGGGTCTCGATAAGTCTAGGAGCAGTCTTCTGAATCAAGAAACCTCAGCTTCCCTTTTGGAGCACCCACAGTCTCTGATTTACAGTCCTTGTCACGCTCCACCTTGGTGGCTCAAGAGTTTGCTGTCTCGTCTACTTAGGTCCTCCGTGAGAGGCTGACACTTTGTAGGAAGGATGTTCCCTCCTTTTCCTCGACCTTCTTAAAACAGGGTGCACAATGATCAAAATATTTTTGGTGTTTTGTGCTGTGAAAGGCCAGACATCCCCTGGGCTCAGGTTGCTCCACAGCTTTGAGATTGGTTGACCAGTCTTCAGCAACTACTAGTGACTGTGTTTCTCTGATGGAGAAGAGAGGACAAACTGGGGTGAGGGATTTGCAGTGCTCTGCTACTGGAATAATTATTTGTCACTCTCTTTTGAGAATGTGATCCTTTTCTGGGATAATTTCAGTAGATATCTAGCCTCAGTTGGCTCTTTTAGAAGAAAGGAGACCCTCAGGGCTGATTTGCAGAACACAATTCAGGGACAAAACAAAACCTGTTTCTTAGTATCATCGATTTTGTTAGAACTCTCGCTCTACTCTGCCTTATTTATATCAAATATTTCCAGAAACACATAATTTACTTCTGCACAAGACTTACCAATTCCTTTACCCTACCTGGAGGGTCTAGTTGAGGTTTGCTGACTGATGTTGCAGAGATACTGATGGGATATGAGTTTACAGATCTTTTCTATAAGGCCTTGCAAATATTTTACCCCAGGGGTGCTTGAAATTCCTACCACTGGAGTGATGGGTTGTATTTTTAACCTCTGTTCAATTTTGGGCCTAAGCATGTTTGACAGACACCTCTTTTTATACATTGCAATGCAGCATAGCAAAATACATGGCTGGTGTTTTATTACTAATAATGCACACTGCTGCTGTAGTCAAAAGGAAGAAAAAACTCCATTCTTCATCCTCAAATTCGCACTTCTGCTAAAGCCTTCCTCATTTGAGCAGTGATTGCAATTTCTGATTTATCAGCTTCTGTTGTCCTGTTGCCACCTGGGCCGGCTACCAGAAGCATCCAAATAGAACTAAGAAAACAGTACAGAATTGTAGAAAATATATTTTACCTACAAGTCTGTGAATTTCAGAAGATTAACCCTGAAACACAGTACTTCAGCAAATATTTTTTGTAACTTTGATTTCAGATTAGGGACTGCTTAAACACTTTGACTCTTGAGGGCCTTAAAATAGTACGGCTGGCAGCAGAACTGCTCCATTTCAAATTTCCCAATGAAAAAAACTCTGCTCAATTTAGCAATGTGGAGACTAATACTTATTTAAACCCAAGAGCATCTTTGAAGTCTGAAACCCCACATTTTTTGCTAATTAATCTGTTCCCTCCTGGCTGGCAGGCAAATTTATCACCAAGTTAGACATTGTGGAAAATGAACAGGAAGCCAAGAGATCTATGTTTGAAGCTGTGTGATTATGTATAGCAGGTACACACAGTGGGGAAGTGCAATAATGAGATGTGCCTGTTCTCTCAAGGGGAAGGCAGTGTTTCAGTCACCGTGGTTCTCTTCTCTTACTCACACAGTGCCAGTGTGCCAAAGTTTTTCTGTCCTGTGGGTGTGGGTGGGTGGTGAATATGGGAGGAGCAGTTTTTTTCTGACTGTCAAACACAGTGAGTTGGTCCTGTAAATGTGGAACAATCCCATGAAGTCTGTGGGATGACTGTGATAGGAAGCAATTTGCATATGGATGGGTTTGGAAAAGAGGCAGCCAAACTGCTGCAGACTCATTTTCTCCACCTTCTCTATAATGAGGTCAGCTTTGTGCTCCCCATGGGGAACAACTTAAGATATTTTCCCTAATTTGTGAACAGAAGAAGAGACTTCAGTAAAGGTTTATAACCTGTCAATGGAATATAAAAGTACAGACAATTACAATAGAAAAAAAAGAGAGGATCTGAGAAATCTGAAGGAGTGTGAGGACTGGGAGTCCCAGAAAACTAGTGAGCCAGTATAAAGATGATAAATGTAAGAAAACTGATATGATCATAGTTTAGAAAGGAATTTGAGATCCAGGTAAGAGAGGGAACTGAGGATCTATAGGATGTATCAGAGAATGTCACTGACTATAATTCTCAGCAGATAAGTATGAGGGTTTGCATATTTTGTGGCCAATTCACGGTTAGTTGTGGGAATAGGACCCTACAAATTGAATAACACTTTAAGGGAATAGTGGGTACCTGAAAAAACT